GACGATACATGACCGCAGCGTCTGTACACCTTAGTACACCGAACAAAGGTCCAAAACAACGGATCGAAACCATCTAGGGCTGCGACCCGGACCCGACCCCGCCCGGCCGAGCTCGCCCGAGCATATTCTGGGGGCTCTCGGTACGCGCCCCGGGGCAGTTAAACCTAACATGATGAGATTGACAACTGTCCTGCGGGCGCCTCGGGCGCCCGACCCGAACAGGGCGCCGACTACGTTTCCGCCAAACAATCTCACGATAATCAACCTTCGGATATCTCCGAATCGCACTTGGTCCTTCTTGGTCATGGCCTCCCTCTCTACGACTGTCACACGATCCTCTCACTTACGTGCCATGATGTCTTCCTGTTCCTCTCTCGCTCCGTCTGATTCAATCTCCGATGTGGCTTCTGATAGTACCTCAACGTTACGCTCTTCCTGGGTGTGGACTTATTTTGTAACTGAGAAAGTCGATGGTGTGATGAAAAATGTATGCCGAGCCCAACAAGGATTCGTCGACGCGGTCAATCCTTTCGATGTACAACCTGACACCCCTGCGACTGGGATTTGCAACAAAGCTCTTGCGATTGACAAGCATGCTAGTACAAAGTCAATGATTCGACATCTCGATCGCCACCATCATATTGTACCTCCCACTCAAACTGATCAACCTACCGTGTCAGCCTTCTATATTGACGGAGTGCCTGTCAAAGTAAGTCCCGTTTCAAACTTCTAATTTAATTCAAAGCTTTCGATTGGACTTTAACTCTTCATCTTAACGTTTGTATTGTTTATTTTTGTCTCTCTAGGTCAGACCGCTCAACAGAGCAAATCTCAAAGAAGCTCTAATTCGGATGGTCGTCAATCAAGAGATCCCGATGTCCTTTGTCGATGCAAAGGAGTTTCGGGAGATCATCAACATGATCAATCCCACTGCTTTCACTCTCTTATCCAAACGTACTGCTATTACCGATGGAATCTTGGATAGTTTCCGATCGGCTCGAAACAAGATCATCAATTTGCTTTCCAGTGTCTCCCACGTATCCATCACATGTGATGGATGGACGTCTCCCACCAACATCTCTATGCTTGGTGTCACCGCTCACTGGATGACCGACAACTTCACCATCCGAGGTATCACTCTGGCTTTGAAGCCCATCGATGGACCCCACACTGGTTCCAACTTAGCTTCCCTTCTCAAGAACGTTCTGGATTCATTTCATATAACTGATAGTCTCTATTGTATTACCGCGGACAACGCGTCCAACAATACCACCATGGGCCAAAGCCTCTCGACCTTGATTCCCCATTTCGACTCTTCCCATCACCTTCATGGGTGCGTCGCACACGTCATCAACTTAGTTGCCAAGGCTGGAATGGCGGTCTTTGACCGAAAGGCTCCTCCACCTATCAATGCGCTCGATCCGGCAATTCCACAAACTCAGTCATCTGTTCCTTTATTTATTGAACCTACCTCACACTCTGAGATAAGTAGTGTACTCACCAGAATCCGTGGCTTCCACAAAAAAATTAAACATAGTAGTCAGCTCAAGACCTCACTCGAAAACGCTATTGCCAGCTGCCCCACCTTGGAACGTAAGGTTGGGCTTGTTCACGAAGTCTCCACCCGCTGGTCTTCGACTCACTCATCACTCGCTCGATTCGTTGAACTCAGAGTGGTGTTGGAGTATCAATTCAACTGTAATCCCGCTCTTGAGCCCTTCAAGCTCGACCACGAAGAATGGACCTTGGTCGAAAACCTAGTCCAGTTCTTAGGCCCTCTTGCTGCTGTCACCGAGACGATCGAAGGCCACTTATACCCCACCTTTTCTCTTGTCATGCCTGATTATCAATGGCTTGTTGATCGCCTCGAAAAGGTATGTTTTTTCTTTTTTCGTTTTAATTCTTTCATCTGCTAGTCACTGATATGTTGATTTGTATCTATGATAGGCCTGGGCTGATTCCAAGTGTAAGGAATTGAAGGTGGCGATCATGCCCATGATCAAGAAGATCATCCAGTATCAGCAGGCTGCCGAGACGAAACCTGTGTACATCTGTTCTGCAATACTCGATCCACGTCTCAAACTTACCGCTGTCAAGGCCCAAACCATGGAATCGCTAGGTTGGGGACACGAAGATCTGGTTGAATACTTTACTTTACAAGCCACCAAGTTCAAACCGACTCTTGACCCCGAAATCGAAATAGTAGAACCTCAAGAATCCACTCTCAACCTCGACCGACCTCAACATTACATCAAGAGACGCAAGACAGTCCCGATTGAAGACGAAGTCAAGGAATACCTCGCGGCTCCTCAAGAGGACGAATCACAAGACCCTCTTGTCTACTGGGAGACCTCTAGACGACACTGGCCCAACTTAGCTCGCATGGCAAGGGCCATGCTCGCTGTCCCTGCCACAAGTGCTCCCAGTGAGAGCTCGTTTTCTAATGCCTTAAGGGTCATGAGTGATCACCGTGCTGCTCTCACTCCAACCAATCTTGAGGCTCAGGTTTGCCTTAAGAGTTGGAATAAGGTCTTAAAGTAGGCTATCGTTTGAAGCTTTTTATACATGAGAATCAGATCAATATATCCTTTTTTGATGTACAATCTTGTCGAGTTTGTTACTGTGGAACGTTCGAAACATGAAATACAATATCCCCTCTCAGCGAGTCATTTTAAAACACCTAGATTGCCTATATGTGAGATTTTCGTGCCCCCATTAGAGTCAGGGCGCGCCCTGGTGGACCCTCGGACCTACCCGAGGCCGGGAAAAGTCCCGGGGCGGCCCCGGGGCCATCAGGGTCGGGTCGCAGCCCTAAAACCATCGACATCCCAACGTCGCACTCGAAACGGCCCCTTCGGCTGAAATGATCACCAACCACCGTTTCCATCACCTCCGTCGACGGCGTCAGAGAAATCGATGCCTTGTGCAACTAAACAGGCCGGCCCGCGAAACTGGCCCGCGCTGGTCATTTCACATGTATTGCCAAATTTCATATGTAATTGACAATCACTGCGTTTCTCACGACTCGATCCATCCTGTCGCGCGATTCTTAGCAAAATCAAATGTGATTCATAATACTTTTATAGCAACCCCAAAACGTATCAACCTCTCTTTCGTTATCCACCGTTCATTTCCATTTGTGATACATTGATTTTATGGAAAACACCATGACCTTGTAGCCTAATGCGCATCTGCCCGCGTCACAGAAACGTCCATCAAAGCTGGCGATCAAAACGACCTCACTTTATGTTAGACTTGCTCGGAAAAGTGTTGCTATCAATTTTGATTTTACTCGTGAATGGTGATCAAAAATGGGATGGACTTGTAGAGTTTTGATCAGCGGGATAATCCTGGTAATCTTGGTTGTATTTCCACCTTTGACACCTTCGCCCAGATGGGACTTAAGGGAGAACGTGGTAACCTGTCAATACATTTTCGGAGGTCACGATAATGGTCTATAATGGTACGCCGGTTTGAGGATGTTGAAATTGACTGCGTTGACGGATTTGCAATTACAAAATGACACTGCGTCAACGGATTTGGAATGACATATAGCTGCAGTATCAAATGTACTGACCCGCGACCCGCGACCCGCGCTGGTCAGGATGTTTGCACAACCCTGCTATTGCTCACGACGGCGTCATACCTCTCTCGAACATCGATCCCCGACTTGTGCACGCATCACATGACGCTGGTCTCCATTAAGCATGGTTTAGCAGAAGTAAACTTGCTATTCTTTGACGGAAAAGTAGTACTGGATTCAAGAATGTCTCTAAAGCATCCAACCAAACCCCGCAAGCCATGGTCCCAATACCTTGCTCTACAAAACAAAAACAACAACAATAGCTCAGGCTGCCACAATCTCCTCTTTCACAATTGGCTTGTCTGTTGGAATTTGCTACTTCGCTTCCATCAAATCACTCCCTACTGGTTTAATCATGTGGATAGAGGCCAGCTACATGTAGGTCGTGTAGATTTGTACTTGCTCCGATGATGAGTTGCACAACACACAGCTGATCTTGATATGTTCCCAGCTATTCCATCTCAACTTTATGATGTGCAATCTTTGGCTACCTCATTGGACCTACAATTGGCCATGGCGACTTTCGCTTGAATGCTTTGAAACCACTCCAGTCCAGGATGCAGTAGCAAAATGCACGCTTGTCTGCACACATCAAAGCAAATTGAGTCAATCCCGCTCAATCAAACCTCATGCGAGCGTATTGGGATCCCAGGTGACTATAGACGCTGGCTCAGGGATCAAGCCGCGTATGGATGGAAAGCATCACATCCTGAAATCTTAGATCATCAATTGAATAGTTATATACTATCTTTGTGTTTCAAAGTATGGCATCTTTTTAGCAGGACATTTGAATCTAACATTCAAAGATTTATCTTTGCATCTTTATAAGCCAATGTATACCTCTCGCTTTCTCTCTATTTCTCTTCACTTGCATGTTGTAGACTTTGAATTTCTATCAAACAATGAGGGCTTTCTAATAGAGATAAAGAGTTGATGGGGTTTTTCACGGTTCAAGATCTAATCGAATTTTGAAGTTGTATATATTTTCACTTTCTTGTTCTTCTTCCAAATGTGAATTTAAATCAACTAAACCAAAATGTCTAGACCTACCATAGGAAATGATCTATTCAAAACCATAAATTCAGTCGACCAAAACCCAAAGCGGTCGATTTTTTGAGGATAGTAATCAATACTAAACTGATTTCCATCTTCAACTACTCCAACAAACTTATTTCAGTAAAATCAAGTGGTGCCGGTTTCTTATTAGATTCAGTTGGAATTATGTACTCGGGTTGAGATGTGGGGATTGGATTGATTGTGCACGCCTAAGAATGTCATCTTTGTTAGACATTTTAATTGGTCAATGTGATCTTGAAATTGTAGGAAGGTTGAAGTGATTCTCGCGCGTGTAGTTAACTCATTATGATCCAACGCTGAGAGGTAAGCGATGAGTCCTCTTTCACTGATTCTAGGGACATCAGGCTTGAAGCATTCTGCGACTGTCATTTGGTCCTTCGAGGTGTGTAGGTACGAGGTGAAAGCACTGTTGATCAGAGAAATCAGGGCATTATCAAATGATCAATGGCCTGCAGCGTGATTGGGGAATTCTGTAGGTAAAGAAGCCACAGCAAACTTATCTTCAGACCGATTCTGCGTTCCTGAAAGTTGAAGACGATGATGGATGGGGCGGCGTCACGTATCAGTTCAGGATAAGCAGTGTTCAAGTGAGTATGACATTTGTTGACACACCAATATGTATAACTGGACCGACCACTTGGGCTCGGCAGATGATTGAAAGAGGGATAAGAACAACGAGGGCTTGATGGAAACGGCCGTTTGGAATAGTTTCAGCCGAAATACTTATGTTGTTTGACTTGGTCGAAACGTCTGATGGCTCAGCCTGTTTGGGCCGGCGTACAGACGCTGCAGTTGTGGTACACCGTAAGTCTGACCGAAGGCGTACACGGGTGAGCGGGGTCGAGTGTACAGCGCTGTACAGACAGCTACAGACAGTCACAGTGTACAATGTACAAAGAGCACGTGATTTTCCCCTAATCTGAAACCAAAATTCCCCGGGGAAAATCAGTTTTTTTCTGTAGTGACAGTAAGGGGTACGTAGTCTCGGAGTTTCTTGAACCCCTTGTCCCACTTGGTGGGCAAGTCTGGGAGGTCGGCTGACGTGAAGTCCACGGCTTTGCACTCGAGTTCAGCGGCACTAATCGCCGAGGAGTCATCTGAAGAAGATGACTCGGATGGGGACGAGCTTCCTTCTGAGGACGAGTCGTCCTTGGACTTCTTCGACTTCTTCTTTTTTGTCTTCGAGCGCTTTTTAGGCGCCTCGACTAGTACGCTTTCGTCGTCTTCTGAAGGATCTGAGGGCGAGGAAGGATCTCCACCATCCTTCAAGGACTTTCTTTTCGAACCAGAGACTGCCGGTGCACTCTCAACAACCAGTCTCCGCGCGGCTCTGGATGGAGTTTTCGGGCCCGCTCTAGGTTCCGAGGACGCCACCGCTCCCGCGGGAGGGTTGAATTGAACCGTCCGCCTCAAGACTTTGTCTATCTTCGCTGGGGCAGCTCTCGCCTCTTCGACAGTACCAAATTCAACCGCATGGTTGAGTTCATCCATGATTGAAACGCCAGGTTGGGGTTCCGAGTCTCCTGCAGAAGGAACTACGCACGCCAGCAACCAAAACAAAATGGCGACGAAAAACGATCAGTAAGATACTGTTCGTTAAACTCAAATTATGGTGTCATCTTGGACATTGGCGCTAAAAGCTGCCCCCTATCGGGTTCTCAATAAAGAATCAACTCTAGAGAGACTCGCGTAATATCGCGAGGACGGTCACAGCTTCAAGACAACAATCCGAACATGTCAAATTGTACCATTGACCAAGGCTGTCTGGTAGGAGAACGCTCAAAGCAGCATCTGCACCTATCACCGCAACAAGAATGAGCGCTGATAGCTGCAGTCCTGTCGGGACCCGGCGGGAACCGACACAGGCGCCAAAGGCAGCCAAAGGCCAAAACCGACCAGGTCTAGGACACCCGCAAACTGGATGGACCAAGGTCTGACAGCCCGAAGAGGGTAAAGGGGAACATGAAGCTTACCTTTGATTCTTATGTTCTTTTCAAGGCTTGGAACCCAAGCGCCGTCTAACTTGAAACTAATCTTTTTCTTTAACGCTGACTTAAAATCAATTTCGTCACCTCCTGCTTCAGACAATTCATCATTGCCATCATCGCCATTGACCGCTCCTGGTTCATCTTGATCTATAGGTTTGCCATCATTCTCCGCTATATTAGGATCCGTACCGCCTCCTTCCGTCAACGTGCTGTTGGGGAGCTGGGAAGATTGCGGAGCCCTGGAACCTGCCCGTTTCGCTCTATTCTCCGCTTGAACCCGTTCTTTCTCTGCTTGAGGCCTTTTCTTCTCTTCCGCCTCTAAGTGCATCTGATGCAACTTATTCTTGGACGTTACGAGTTTTTCTTTCTGAGATGGTTCCATTTGTAAAGAAAATCGTGTAGGATATATTTGAGAGAAAAGGATTCTGATTGGCTGTGTAGTAAGGAAAGGTGTTCGAAAGTGTTCGAAAAAATTTGCTATGAATCTGAGAGATAAAAGAGAATGTGAGAGATAGGCGAAAAGAGCTGATGAAGAGCAGAAGGGGGGAGAAGGAGCTGAATTGGAAGAATGGAAGTGAAGAATTTTTCCTTCTTCCGTTTCAGAGATAATTCTTCTCCCTTCCCGGCCCCGTTGTCCGGTTCCGTGAGCGGCCCCGCTCGTTTAGCCCGATCCCTTATGTTATGTAATGGACTCTAGACTACCGTCTCAGGCTTTGGGTAAACTAGCAATTAATTGTTTCTGGAATAAATCTTCTCAATAAAGAAACATGAAACACAGGATGTAAGCTTTTCATCGTCAAAGGCAATTATAGTTTATAAGCCACAGAAGAAATTCTCTTCTCTATTTTGAATGGGCCCAGCCATTTATGACTAAATTTTGCCGTTGGCCTTGTCGTAGACAAGTTCCTACTGCTCAACCATACTTTATCTCCTGTTTTCCACTCCTCTTCTTTCAAAAAGTTCTTGTCATAGTTAATTTTCATAATTTCTTGACTCCTTCTCATGTTTTTGGTGACTTCCTTTTGTACATCCATTAATTGATTCAATCTGTTTTCTACTGCTAAGACACACCTATCACCTCCCATTACTCTTCCTAAATTTAAATCTGACCCGTAATTGCTCTTGAATGGTGACATCCCGATGGCCGTATGATCTAAATTGTTATACAAAAATTCGAAAGTCGATAAGTTTCGGGCCCAGTTATTCTGATCATAGTTAGCAAAATGCCGTATATAACCCTCCACACTCCTATTTGATACTTCTGATTGACCGTCAGTTTGGGGATGAAATGCTGTCGAAGGTTTCGTAGCAATGCCCAGCTGTGCATTCATCTCCTTGGTGATCCTACTGACAAAAATTGAACCTCTGTCAGAAACAATGCTCTTCGGGGTTCCATGTAATTTCCAAACGTTATCAATCAAAATCCTTGCCAATCCACTCGAGTCCATTGTTTTGTTGCACGCCACGAAATGACCCATTTTCGTCAGCCTGTCTACAACTGTTAAGATTGTGTCCTTTCCTTCTGATACAGGTAAGTCAGTTATGAGGTCCATAGTAATATCAGTCCACGGACCGACAGGTATGGGCAATGGCTTTAAAGAACCAAACAATTTTGAGTTTCTTGATTTGACTCTTTGGCACGACGAGCATCCATCCACGTAACAATTGACATACTTCTTTACCAATGGCCAGTAGAAATGTCTTTCCACTAGCGCCAAAGTTCGAGCCTGTCCAGGATGCCCGACCAACTTGCTGTTGTGCCTTGAACGTAAGATTTCGAATTTCAGTTTGTCATTTTGTGGTACTACCAGCCTTTTTCGAAAATACAATAAGTTTTCTGAAACTGAATAATCTTCCTCCAACTTAACATCTTTAGCATTCCTGAGCTTAATTTGTGTAATCAAGTTTTGAATCTTCACATCTTCTTTTACTTTCACTCGTAATAAGCTTAAAATCTTCTCATCGTCCCAAACATCTTCTACTGATTCAATTGCCTCAATTCGGATGACTTCTTCCTCTTCAAACTGGTCTTCAAATTGATAGCCGCCTACTTCATCTTTGAATAACATTCCAAAAGAATCAATAGATATGTCAGCAATGAATGTGTCATCTCTGAGATTATCAGGACGTAAAAGCTGTCCGAAAGAGAGTTTTTCTTCCACCGAGGGCCTCAAATCAGGCCTCCTTGATAAAGCGTCAGGTTTCTGAGATTGTTGTCCCAGTCGGAACCTAATTTGGAAATCAAAACAGCCAAGACACTGCGCCAGATCACTAATTTACCGCTGAGTTTAAAAAATTGAAACTGCAGAAAAATATCACCAATACAGGAGAGGTCAGAAAAATTTGAAAAAATAATGATTCAATTCATGGGTGCTGTCCCCTCATTTTGCATATTTTTGCATATTTTTGCCATGATTTTTGAAGTCTCCCCAAACCAAAATGCTCACAGGGGATATTATGTCAGAAACTCAAATTTGGTCCAAAACTAGCAATATTTGGGCAAAAACCTCCAAGCACAAAAATATGAGTATTTTTGTTCAATCATCTGAACACTTGCAATTTATGGAAGCCGCATAATGGCTCTACAACGTTTATTAAGGTGCTGAAGCCATTGTAGTAATGACTTATATGCTTATACATGGTTCCTGCTGTGTACGTCTCTTGATATATCTCACCCATTCTTGGAGACACACAGCTTTTTTGTGCACTCAAACTGTAGAGCCAGAATGTGGCATTCAGAATGTCAAGACACTACATGTGTTGGAGCAAAATAGATGACTTTGTTGGTGTTGCAAGGTCACTGTCTCTCTACCTGCCAGTTTTGGACCAAAATTGGGTTTCTGACATTATTTGCATTGTGGTTGTAAAAATATGAAAAAATATGCCAGATGATTGGAAGGAACCAAAGGGCCCAACCTATATTATTCATATTTTTCTGACCCCTCCCAGCTTTTCCATAATTTTATATGTCTGCTCAATTTTCTAAACTCAGCGGTAAATTTTCAATCTGGCGTAGTGAGAGTTTCCGCCCACCGGGCTTGACGTCGCGTTAATTGCTTCGTGGTCATAAAAGACTCTAAGTTCTAGTGATCTGAGTAAACAATTACGTCCAATCGATTTGGGTTGCCTTCTAAATAATGACGCCACTCTTTGAAAGATGCCAAAATTGCGAGCATTTCTTTATCAAAGATCTCGTAGTTGCGTTCCGCCGGTACCAATGTTCTTGACAGGAATGCGACAGGGTGAAGCTCGTTATCATTGTCAGAAATCTGTGACAAGACTGCTCCCAAAGCAAAATCCGAGCAGTCACACTCAAGGATAAAAGCTTTATAAGGGTCAGCTATCTTTAGGATGGGTGCAGTTGTGAAGAGATGTTTCAAAGTTTCGAAAGCCACTTGTTGTGATGGACCCCATACAAATTTTGTATCCTTCTTTGTCAGTTCATGTAAAGGTCGAGCCACTTTTGAAAAGTTGTCGATAAACCGTTTATAGAAATTCGCAAACCCTACAAAGCTTAACACTTCTGACACATTTCTAGGGATAGGCCAGTCAGTTACAGCAGCTACTTCCTTTGGGTCCATTTTAATTCTATTCTTTGATATCACTAATCCCAAGAATTCGATTTCTGATTGCAAGAATTTACACTTTTCGGGCTTTAAACATAACTCTTGCTCTTTACAGACTTCAAGTACGTGGCAAACGGCGTCCTTGTGAACCATTCCCTTTTTAGTATCAACCATAATGTCATCTAAAAAGGCTGTCACGTCTTTACCAATGCGGTCTTTGAAGATATCCTGAATAAAAAATTGAAAATACCCAGGCGCTCCAGTTGGACCGAAAGGCATTGTCAGAGGTTTGAATTGACCCGCTCTACAAATAAAAGCAAGCTTTGCTTCATCCACTGCCAACATTTTTACCTCGGATCTCAAAATCCGAGGTATTCTCGGGTCTAAACCCTCGGACAGCTCTTGTCTGAGGATTTGATCCGAGCCATTTCATGACGCATAAGATTGCCTCGGATTGAAACCTCGGACAAGATTTATCCGAGGATATGCACTTGATGATGCCTCGGATTTCTCAACCCGAGGCAAATATGTTGGCAATGATCGCCTTGTGCTACCCGTAAGTTATTGTAGCCATTTCTCATATCTAGAGAAGTAAATTCTTCTGCATCGAGCAAGCTGTCTACCAATTCCATGTTTAAAGGAAGTGGACACTTCACCTTAACCGTCATAGTGTTGAGTTTCCTATAGTCAAAACAAGGGCGTATTTTGCCGTCCTTCTTTCCGGTGAACAGAACTGGCGCTCCCCAAGGCAATGTTGAACGTCTAATAGTTCCAGCCTTCAAACCTTCCTCTATCATCTTATCCAATGCCTCATTTTCAGCTGGTGACAGGGGAATAATCCTGCCCGCGTACGGAGTCGAATTGTCGAGTAGGTCGACCCGGAAATCATACTTTTGGCAAGGAGGTAAGCGTTGAGACGTTTTCTTTTCAAACAGAGGTAAGAATTTGTGATACTCCGTTGGTACCAGGTCTGACGCCTTTCTGTCCTCCTTCAGCTTAGGATCAGAGGCCGCAAGCTTGGCTGAAGTGCTCCAGGATGTCTTCACAGCATCAATCTTGACGGTATCCGGTGATGAAACCTCTCTGTCCTGGCAAAAAAATTTGCTAGCAATAACGTCCTCAAAATCATCTATAACAAATAGAAAATCTGACTCACTCAGCGGGGGTTCTGATTTAACAGATGGGCTTTCTATCACCGCTACCCCCAAGTCACTTTGGCTAGTTTGACCTCCTAGCTCTCCTGGCTGATTGGTCCTGGGCGCCTCGAGTGACCTGAGTGTCTGCTTGAGTTTTCTTCTACGCAAGTTCTTCTTTCGATTCAATTGTTGTCTCTTTGTCGAATTTGGAGAAGGGATCTGCTGTAAAGGAGAATCCTTGCCAGCTAACGTTACTTCAACCAATTGACACAGGGAATCTAAATGACTCGGCAGGGGATCTATTTTATTAGATGGGCTTATCAAAACCACTTCCCCCGGGTCACTTTGGCTAACTTGCCCTCCTAGCTCTCCTGGCTGATCGGCCTTTGGCGCTGTAGAACTCCTACGCAGTGTAGCGTAGGCTGAGCCGGAGAGGGGATGAAGTACCGCCGGAGAGAATGGAAGTACAACAGGTGCAGTTAAGCTGCCCTCAACCTTTAGAAATCTCTAAGTTCAGAGCAGAGGAGCACAATTCTAGACAAATCTTCCTGCTACACACAATCAACACCTGTAATAATGTTATTTTATCCTTTCTACTGATAAATCAGTACCAAACCTAGGTCCAA